GGAGACGGGGCCTACGGTTTATTCGTCCTTATCCGAGAAGACCAGAATATCTATCCATTTCTTGATATTATAGAAAGGTGGCAAATTCTCCTCAGTTATTTTAAGACCATGAGAATTGGTCCGGCCGGGGCTCGAACCCTCGACCTCCCGCACAACACAATCCGACGCTCTAACCAATTGAGCTAACCGCAATTATTGCAATGATTGCACTTCTTAGGATTCCAATGTCCTCCATGGCAGCACTGGTAGATTTTAAAATTCTGTTAAGCTTAGCCTCTGACGAAGCAAAAGCCTTCAAATCGTCGATGTACAATAGCTAGGAAACACTGGCAATGATAGGCTTCGACAGCCTATATCCCTCTGTAGCTTCTAGTGACCAAGCAACTGGATTCAAACTTAGCGTAAAGAGGCGCGGGTAGAGCGAATCTCCCTGCGGCAAACCGTTGTTGAATCGAATGCAGCGAGAGGCTTCGGGTTCACGTTTGGTAGTAGTAACAATTCTCGTATTCCAACTTGCAACCAAGCACCTCATGACTCCACACAGCCAAGTAGGAAAGCGGTGAACTTCCCTGATCTCAGGCAACCAAATGGAATATCGTCTGCCGTTCATAATATTCACCTCCGAACAACTCACACAGGATTTGCACCCGAAAATGTTGTAATCGTTGCAGGAAGAAATGAGTCAAAATAATCTTTTTGTGCTGCATATCTTTTTGTGCCTCGCAGATCGGTAATTATAGACTACCAGCCACCTCCACTTCGGTGAATAGTTTTTAATTATAGAAACGTTGCAATCGCCTCTTGCCCGTCCAGGTAATATCACTCTGTTTTACACCCTGTTGTAAGAGCATCATAGTCTCAGAATAAGATATTACTTTTCGGCCGGTATATGATTCTTTGAGCTATTGTCTATTTGAAGCCACAACGCTTTTGTTTAAATTTCCGAGTATTTCAGCGGTATTTTAGCGGAAGTTGACAACAAATGTAGAAAACATTTTACAAACGGATACCGAGGCTTGCTTAGTGGTATGTTACGGTACTAATTTTTTTTTCAAGGAAAGTCGTTAAGAATCGATAGAACCAGAAAGGAAGGAACTTCCATCAAATGAAGTTTCATTCTATGACTTTTGAGGAACGATTTCCATCCAATTCACAATTGATAATTGAGATTTACATAACACATTGACAAAAAAACAGACAATCTACTCTGTTCACATTCCACTTAATTCTAAAGTGACGCACATTAAAAACTTTAATAAACGCGATTTCTCCAGAAATTATCGATGAAATCAAAACTGCAATTTCAAAGAATTATTTGGTTTTCTCTCTTTCACTCTGATTATCAACTATTCATCTTTTGATAAGATTAATCATTTAAGAAAAAACTTTTACTCTGAAATCTTTAGAATTGTCCGTGAAAAGTAGGTTGTATCGTTTCTATTTTTGCATCGTGCAATATATATATATATGCAGTTATATATATATATATATATATATATATATATATTTTATCAGGAGCTAGGTTATCCAACAGAATGACTTTTTACGGACTTCTGAAAACAATAATATTGAAGACAACAATAGTTATGAATATATGATATTTATTTCAGAACTAACAAAGATATGGGCGCTCTTTATTGATAGCAAACACTAATAGCAAACACTCTGGAATGTTTCGTATTCCTTTTTTCCCCCTTAGTTGAAAGATGTTTTGACAGTCATTTTCCTTTTCTTCTGACTGACGATTCTTTGCTAACAATTGAGACAAAAAACAACCATTATAGGCAAATGAAAATGACTTTAAAGTGAACATTTTTGGGGCGAGATTTTAAAGTCTAGTTCACGATTACAACTAATCTAGTACTAAACGATCAATATTGCAATTTGTATTCAGTAACTCTTTAGCGAATACCAATCAACACTTTTCCATAAGTAAATAGGGTAAGATATACGCTGCTGAATCGCCTAACATAAAAAATTAAAGAACCTGCTTTGTTCTCAATATCGAAGTAATAAATCAGAACCGATTTTTTTTTTTCATCATATTTGCACGGTTCAGTTAAATATAATGGCCGTACTAAGCTTTTACCTAGGTAAATGTAAACAGCGAGTTTCACAATAAATACTTTATCTCTTACTTGTTGGATTTTGGTAAGGCGCCAGTTCATAGCAGTGCTTAGGGCACCGGAATAGGCTACCCTCACTAAATAAAAGTCTCTCTCTCTCTAGGTATTGGCCGGTTTCATGTGTGCAGCTAAAACTCATCACATTAGAAATGGATGCTTTAGAGTTCTCGGAGGCAGGTGTGTCGACAGTTTGACGAGCATTTCCGGTGCGAAAACCCTTTTCTTTGTAATGTTACAAATGACTGAGTGTCAGTAAGCGTAAAGGTTTCCTGTAAAGTAGCTGTGACGCATGCGTGGGCAAATATTTATAAGCTGCTGTGTCGCCTTGTGTCGATCAAAAGATATTTACACGAGCGAGTTCAGATTTCATTAAGTGCGAGTACGGGAAATGGATTTGGTTGCGGCCTCATGGTGCAAACAGTTTAACGTTATCAGTTTTTTACTACTTCTTCAATCTGCCACAACTCTTTCTCTTTCCTGTCCCGCAAAGTGTGAATGTACTAATTTTAGGGACGCTTCATTCGTGGAGTGCTACAACGTCTCAACTTTGAAAACCATACCTTCTGGCATCCCAGCAAATGCACGCACACTGTGAGTATAACTTAAGTTTATTTGCTTCCTAACCTTTGATATATGTCTTGTTATCAAATCATAAAAATTTGTCACCTTTCAGAAGCGATTTGTTGTTTTAAAACATAGTGGCAAGGATTTCAAATGGCGCGAACATGGCCGAGAAAATTCAATTACCGTATACTGTCGAAGCTTAAACCAGTCAATTGCAGTCAGTCTTTTAACATCCACTTGTCACTCTTGCAAACCGGGGCTGCTAAAGCATTTGTTTTCATTCAGATCGAGTCGATAATGAAAGTTTCTCAGACTTACCGTAGCGGGAGATCGAAATTCAGCGCTATTCGGGACAATTTGTTTAATCCAACAGTTTTCTGGTTGTCCCGTTTGACTTGCTCTGGGTTTGAAAGAATTCCTAAAGTAAGCGGTGGCAATAAATGTTCGTTTCGATAAGCAAACATTTGACAAATTATCAAAAATTCTTAGGAAGCCGAATTCAGATTGTTGTCTAATACTTATCTTAGTCGGAAGACGATGGAAATAAAATTCACTTCAATAATATTTCTCGGCCCAAAATCTAATGTTGTCTTTTTTGTTCGCTCGAGGTAACAAGAGCTTTATTTCAAACACGATTTTAAGGTAAACAAATCACAAAATGCAGATGACAAAAACGACACACGTATACAAAGTCTGAATATTAAATATAAGCACTTCAAACTTTAGACCTTGTTCTTCGCATTTTTATGGACGAAGTTTCTTTCTTGCTTGAATCGATAATAAACTACATTGTATATTTTTACTGACTCTCGCGTTATTTCTTGCTTTTTTCTTCATCTCAGAGTATTCCAACATACCCAGATATCAAAGATTCAGCAGAATGCCTTTCAAGGATTGCCTCATGTCATTGAAATGTAAGTTATTCTTGATGTTGATTTCTCTGTATTGTGTGACACCGTAGTCTTTTATACCATGGCATATTTTCTGAAGTAATCTTTTGTACAAGAACAAAACCCACTTCCTCAGCAGAAAGAAGTAAACACACACACGTAGAATGTACAAGTATAAGGAAAACATGATTGTATGTTTTCAGAAATCGGCTTTCTTAGTAGATAATCTGGCTAAAAAAGGGGAATCAATACCGCGAAACCCTAACACTGTTTTCACCAAAAATTTGCATTTGTTATGCATGGCAGATTTTTAATAGAGAGGGTGTTTCTATAAGCCACATTAGATCATCTTTTGAGACGCTCGTCGAGTTTTTTAATTAACAATGACCAATACAATTTCGAACTGGATATATTAATTTTACGTAACAAGCATGTTTTGGAGATTCTACTGAGTCGGTTTCTCAAAAAGGAGATGTTTTTAGAACCGCGGAAATAAGTGCGAAATTTTCCATTCGTTTTTTTTTTTTTTTTCGCGAAAATTTGTTAATAAATGTTTTAACCTGCCCTCTAAACTTCGCTACGTTCTCTTTGTTGATAAGATTGAAGGGATTTATTACCACTTAGACAACAGATGATGGGAAAATTAATTATTAAAGCTCTTACAGAACTGATTGGTCAAAAACTGAAACCGAGACCTACAACTGTGAGGAGAACAAAAATCTGATAAAAAGTACTTGGAATTTAAATCGAAATTAGAAAGCTTTTACTCGTAAATTATGATAGCACCCGCGTTCCAAACAACTTTGCCGACTAGCTTTCCAATCGTTCATTCCAGAAGTCTGGTTTAAACGGACAAATATATTATCAAGATTGATACTTAACTTTTCAAAACACATACTTAATGCTTTACATTCTTTAGTTTCTTTTTGACACAAAAGTCAGGGGGAAAATGTTACGCCCTTGCCTAAGGCAATCGTAAAAATAGCCTCTTAGCAATAAAAGATAAACCACCTCTCATGTTTAATTGCTTATCTGAACGGAATAGTATCTGTTTGGCACAGTTTCCTAACCTCCTTGTAGAATATCATAAAATGAACTTCGTAAACAAATCCAAACAAGCTTTTAGCACTTCATTCAGCGCTATTTTCAAGCAATCTGTCGGCGTTTCTGAAGTTCAATGGACTCGTTCGTCTTTTCTGTTCCTTTAATTAAAAATATGCCAAACGGATTAACGAGCGATTATAACACTCAATGCTAAAAGGCCGGCCCAGTGTAGAGGATTTGAATAAATTTGCAATATAAAAAGAACAGCAGTAAACTGACAGAACATTAGAAAGATTGGCCCTTTCTCAGTAGAAAATGAAGAATTACTAAAAGGCTAGTTGGTTTTGAGAAGTAAATAATACGTCACTTGTAAGCACGGTAAAATAACGTAAATCCACGGTCTCACTTTGATCTGTGATCCTTGGGTAAACGTATCTATCTATGGTTTAGAACGAGGGAGAAATTAGAACAATCCTGATCAAAGTAACCAGGCAAAACTTAAATTGGCAAAAAATTCCCATAGTGATATTAATTTACCGGAGTGTTTCAAAGTGTTGCAACTTTAGTATGTTCTAGTAAATCGAAAAATGTTTTCACGTAGCCCTTCGGGCTTATATCATCTACGTAAGTGGCTGTCTCGCTGTTATGCAAATGATGAATTTAGCGGTTCAGTTGTAGATCACGTCAAGAATACTCAACGTTACTTTGTAAGTGTCGGATTGGTATATTAGGTTTTGTGGATACGAATTGATAGAGAAGTTAATATTGTATCAGAGTCAATCCCTTTAACTAGTTAAGCATTTATTGGCCAAAATCGATGATGTAAATCTTGGGTTTGTGTTTTTAAAATCGACAAATTGGGGCTTCTTGATTGCAAAGCTATTAATAAAACATACATCAAACGAATTGTTTCCTAAATCGCACATAACATGTGTTTTGCTACTCTTTAACCATCATTTCTTCCTTTCTTTTTCCTTTTTCCTCTTTTAAATACAACTGATCCACATTGTAAAAATTCCTGTCGCAAAACCGACTCGACGTAACCCGTTGACACTAGAGTCAGATTTCCGGCTTTCCAAGCACTTTGTTGTTTGAGATCCGTCTCATGGTAACATACATACTGAACAAGGTCACCGTATTGCTACTGAAAAAACTGACGCCTATGTAGACTCTTCCGTAGAAACATAGCCAGGATATCACTATATGTGACCAATATAGTTAATCTCTGAAATACTTCGCATAAGTCGAACTTTTTAAGTTGCCGTAACTCAGTTAGTGTCTGGGAAACAGTTCAAACTATTTGTAAAATGAAAGATAGATGATCCCTCGGTTTTGAACAAGTTTTGATGATTAACCGAAAAGAAAAAAAAAACGAACAAGTATCACAAGTCCTAGATGTTCGATCAATAAAATCAGACTTTAGACCAGAAATTCTTGCCACTTATTCACGTTTTCTCGCAGGCCATGAAAAAAGGAGTTTATCGAATTCTTGAATACAAAATGAAAACGCTTTTGCAGCACCCGCTCGGTTAAAACGTCAGTATTTCAACACCATGTGAATGCACTAATCTAGACATTCACCATTAAATAACGAAATGCCTATAAGATAATCTGCAATGTAGCCCCTGTTTGGAGAGCGCGCAGTTTTTCGGGCATGCTATGAAAAGGAGGGCAGCGGAGTCCTAATATACCAATATCCCCAATTCCCTTAGAAACACAAGCTCCACGGATTTTACCCGAAAACGAACTTGTTACACAGATAGGGCTCTTAAAAACTGAGACGAAATGTAATTTTGAAGAAGAATTCCGTGCCAAGACAGAATTGTTCTCGAAAAGTATAAAAGTTTGGCAAAGCTAAGCTTAGGTTGGATTAACTTCAATTGTATTAATGATGCTATCGAGATTAAGTTCCCGTCGTTTGAAAAAGGTTGCGAATTCAAGTAATGATATCCAATTCAAGTAAAGTATCACTTGTTCTCCTTCTATTTGCAGAGAAATACAGTTCAACCCATTAACAACAATAGAGAGGAACGCTTTCCAAGGCCTTACAAAGCTTAATGAGCTGTAAGTTTTTTAACGCTTACCCAGCGTCCCGTGTCTGCTTTTTCGTTTGCGCATTCTTCTACGTACATTCAACACTTCTTGCTTCCTTATTTTTTTTGTCGTTTTAAACTCATAGTTTTTTACCTTTTTTGGTCTTTGCAGAGTTTTAAAAGGGAACAATATAAACCTCCTTTACAGAGATTCTTTCCGAGGAATCCCTCAAATAAGAAAAATGTAAGTACATACTGAGAAAAATCTAGGTTTCCTTTGGCCATAAATTTATTTATTCATGTTGTCACAACATGTTTTCCTTCAAGAGTTCAATGTTGATTGTAGAAGCTTTCGTTTTGCAGTTTTCTTTCCAAAAACAACTTGCAAACGCTTCCAGAAGGATTATTCGACAATACAACTAACCTGGAATTATTGTAAGTTTTTAGATTTATCGTAAGTTTACGAAATTTCGTACACTAACTTTAAAATCTATTTTTAGGTAGGTTAGTGAATATTGAATTAAAAAAATTGGTGTGACACAAGGTCTGCACTCCTGGCTGCACCTTAACCAAACAAAAAAAGAAACGAAAATTCCTTAGACATATTTTAGCACACGCCACACAGGTTGCAAAAATGTCCTCATCTTTCCATGAGCTTGTATCGTAAGAGGCAACAACTTGTACCCTGTGATATTATCAGACAATCTTAGCAATACCAAGATAGGTCATAATGCAAACAATAATAGTTTGTTTGTAAAGAAACCAGAGAAGAAAGGATATACCAAGTAATGAAGAATTGGTTTAAGATAAAGAAGATAATAACTTTTATCAACTGAGTTGATGGTGGAATGAGGAGCTACCGGAGAGAGTTTCCGACTGACATTTCAAGCGTTGGCCCTTCCGGCATTCTGACGCTTTGCTTTGCTATGGCGTAGGGCTAACGCTCGACACGTCAGCTTAGAAACTTACAACAATGTACAATATCAACGAAATTAATGAAACTAAATTATCTTGTATTACATGTACCCCCACCGCAGCAGCATGAACTCTGTTTCTTTAGAAACTGTTACACTCTTTATTCTTCATAAATGAATAGCGAAGCTTGGCACCGATCGAAGAACTTGAATAAATGTGATATTTTTCAAGATACACCTTTTTGCAATAACGTTTTCATAGAATAATACCAACAACGATGAAACATCTCCCAATGAACTTGATGTAGCCGCAAAAAATACTTAAAAACCGATTTGACTTGATTTGATTTACGGATCTCACATTGCTTTTTTTCCACATATCTGTAATGGCAAGTCAGCGGTGTCTCGGGGAATCGCTCATTTATTACATATTGTGACATTTGCTTTTTTTTTGCTTGCTTTTCACTTTTTCTGTGACAATGTTATTGCAATTTAGTGTCTACTCCCTAAGGTAGCTTTGACATTATAGTTCGAGTTGGTATAGGAGTCGTTGACCATACTTAGCCATTTCTACTTCATTTTGCGTATTCAACATTAATAATTATGTTTTTATTTTTTGACCGATCTTCTTTCTATTGTAATTTTATTTAGTTCTCTCTAGTTATTTAGTAATGAGATATGCCAGTAAACCTTTATTGCACTGCACTGCAATACACTGCAAAGCAATGCACTGCAAAGTAATGTACTGCACGTTAATTAAATCCTGGCACCTTAACGAAAAACTACGATAAAAGTAGATTACACTCTATTGTCCTGCACTGCGATGTACCTTAAACTTGTGCACAGTACCGTAAATTTGATTGAGGAAACTTTTATTGAGCACGCAACAACTGACACGGTTTCACAATTTATATTTGCTAACGCTAAAGCTTGCACAAGTAACAATCTAACAGTTCTAATCCTTGCACTTAACCAACACTGTCAAAACCACCATCGGAGTGAATGTCACTGATCTCCTTACAGCGTTCATCATAACCTTATTTAACATTTCATGCCATGATTTCATCCGCTTCTACCAGGAGACTTGGTAACAACAAAATCACTTCGATACCTTCCACTCTCTTGGCAAGACATCGGCAGTTAGCAGATTTGTAAGTGCCTCACGGTAATAGTGTACTAAGAGATGTCTCAAAACTCAAAGCTAACAACATCATTAACATGTTTTTCTTGCTGCAAGTTACAATCATATAATTGCTTCTAACTGATTTGCGTTCAAATTTTTTACGTCCTTTACACTCTGGTTGTAGTCTTTGGGGGAAAAATAACCATTTACTGAACATGGGAAGCTTTTTCATTGACATTGACGTGATTGGATGCCGTTTGAAAATCGTTCGATGGCGACTGGTCTGAGTGAAACGATACACAAGAAATATTGCGCTCGATCAAGTTGGCATTTAAGGGTGGACTTACTTGTTCAAGTTTGCTGTGACTCTATTGCAAATTCTGTTAAATGAGCCCTCTTGACGATCAGGGGAAAGGATACCACTCTCAATGGCGGTTGCGCAGACTTTTTCTGCTCTCTGCCGAATCTTGAAGATAGTGACACAGCTAATCGGGATGATCTAATTCTTCAAATGCTACCACAGTAGAATTCGACACAACGTTAAATTGACAGCTCTTGAGCCAAGTGGCCCACAATGCCCCGGGGCGTAACCCGATCTCTCGTATTGTTATTTTTCCTTGTACCCGTCAGTACTTCTGAGCGAAGAGACAATGACCCGGCCAAGTCTCGAATCAGACCCCTCAATCCGAAACTAAGCATTTATTGCTTAGCATTAATTGTCTAACTAAGCATTTATTGTCTAGAGTCGTCGTATTGAATGCTTTTCGACTATTGATAATCCCGGCCCTTCTCGTGCTTTTTATGTTTCAGGGAATTGCAGAATAATCAGCTTTCTGAGTTTCCTTTGGAACTTCTGAAGAACTTAACTAATTTATCGATTCTGTAAGTAATGTAATAATGATCAGGTTGAACATCTTATTTTTATTGTTTCATCACTTTGTCACCACAGCCTCGTCCCACAGAAGTAACATACTTTTGTCTCTGTAAATCTTCCTATTTTGAATCACTAGAGCCATCGTCATAGAGCAATTTCAATTGATTTTCAGAAGTGGTCTGGGATTTCACTGGTTTTGCATAACTTTCCTCAGTGATTGCTCCAGAAAATTGTTCCATTTTCTGACCCAATCAGCTTCAAAACTAGAACCAATCGGAACTTGGTCACCCACGTTTCCCGCGCGTTTGGCGGTTTGCTTGTTTTCCCGCGCTTTTGGCCAGTTTGCTTGTTTTCACTATAAGTTCTTATTGGTTCTTTACTACATTTCCCTTTGCTCTCTGATTGGCTGTTGTTATTCCTTTGGTTTTGATTGGACGACACTCGAGCGAAAATCACACTCACTGTACTACGCTGATCAAGGCCGAAAAGCTGACCATGTCTTCTTAATTTTTCAGCATTTTTCCCTTTTTGTTATGACCTAGCATAGTCGCCTGGGGGCAGTTTTTGTGGCTGCATCGTACACTTGTGTTACTACAGTCCTATATCACACAAGTGCACCATGCTTTTGTCTCTTAAAATTGTTGGTGAAACGCGAACATGACCCGAAGTTTTGTTATTTCTTGCAGTCTTTTGGATAACAATCTTTTCACCACGATCCCGTATGAAGCCAAAGAAGTACTCGATAAAATAGCCCAGAAACAGCATTCAACCATGTAAGTATTTGAAAATGTTGTGTGAACTTTAAATCTATTGAACCATGTTGGAAGTAAGAATTAATTTTGCAGAGAAAAAAAATATGGAAAAAAAAAACTGATGCATCAACGATTTCGAAACTTTCATCGTGTATCATTACATTATTGCCATTATCTGTATGATCCGTACGATCTGGGATTAATAATAACAGCAGAATCATACAATCAAGAGTGACTAGCTCAATCTCATTCCCAGGGCCTTTTCCCTTAGTTGGGGGTAGAGTTGGAGGTGGGGTTCCCGCCCCACCTCCAACTAAGGGAAAAGGCCTTGGGAACGAGGTTGTGACTAGCGTCTAATTTTTCCTCACAGTACCACCCCTAATCACACATTAAGGTCACGAGAATGAAGGGAATGATCACTTACTAAAGAAGCTCTTGATTGTTAAACGAATTCTTGTTGTCAGCAGCTTAGAAAGTGTAAGGAGAATAGTACGGAGAAAATCTGTGCTGATATTAGGGTTAAAAGTTATCATTGTCATATCTGCTGTACAGAGGGCTTTCCCGTAATCCACTGATGTGCACCCAGGAACTTAAATGGCTTCAGACCTGGATTAAACTCCATCCGTCGGTCGTAGAAGTGGACAAGGTCATGTGTCAAACACCTTTTGGTAACTGGAGCAAAGTGGTTACTTTTAATTTTAGTCTCTTAGGTAAGATTTCTTCTTTTCTTTCTCGTCGCTTTTCTTTAAATTCCTTCGTCACAAGAGCAAGAGTAAGCTGAGGTGTCTTTAAGAAACTGATTGTGTGAGCACAGTTGAACATCCGGTCGGCTACTTTGGACCGAAGAAAACTGTTGGTGTCAGCTCATGGAAAATGAAAAAAATTGGGTCGTAATGAGATTTTAAAATACTACTTCGTGTATGCTAAGGCAGATGTGTCCATTTGCGGAGACTCGCCTGTGATCTCTTTCTTGATGGCTCTACATTATAAGATCTCATTTAGTCTCACCCCGACTGCAATCCTTTTGGAGTGCAGTCGAAGATAGCAGTCGGGTTGAGACAGAGGGTTCCTCTGTCATTAAGCGCTAAATTAAGAAAATATCATTGCTATGGAAGAGGCTTTGTCGACTGAAGTTTAATTTCCAAATAGGAATCAACAGCTTCCATCATGCCGTCTTTATCAATTGTTTTTATCCCTGCAAATTTTCAGAAACGAATTTGTGGCCGACACCTGGCAAAATAAACGAACATATGACTTCGCCTACGCCGTCATTACAAACCACATATACGTCAGCATTCATCGAATTACCTGTTACGTCATCAGCTGCATCACTGGCCTCGGCTGTAGTCACGTCATCAATTCCATCATCGCCTACGTCATCACCGTCACTAACAACGTCATCAGTTACATCATCAGGTAAATCAAACACCATTACACCTACTTCTTCGTCTACATCAAACTCTGCATCATCAACAGCAGTCGTCACCAGCCCTCCGGAAACAACAGAAACACCAAATACTTCTAAGAAGACTGATGACGTGACCACAATTTTTACGACTCTAGAAAGTACGGAAAAGAGTATTCCACCGGAAACGTCTGACACCGTGACCGCGGGCTCAAAGGTCGACGTTTCCACAACGTCAATCGAAAAAGGTGAGCCGGGTTAACCCCTTGAACTCCCATGAGAGACCAAGACAGAATTTCTCCTTACAATATCGATACAATACCATGCAGACAAGTGATGAGAATAAAGATAATGGTCAATTAAAGGGTTGTTAGTTGATTGTAACATCACAAGAAATGTAAAATAGACAGTAAGGAAAATTGCTAATGAGATCTTGCCAGTGACAGGGTTAAGGCATTTCTCTATCATTCATCAAAGTTCTAGTTTTATTCTTCATTGTTATGTATATTCGGCTTTTACTGCTCAAGTTGACGGAAGTGGGCAGTGTTGGTGGACAGATTCAAAACATTTCCGTTTCGTTTTCTCAAATCAGAAACCATAAGGGTACTTGGAAAGCGATGAGGTAATCGCGTTGTCACCAAGTTCTAACGATATCCCAATAAGCTCAACAAATATCAGAATATAGTTTCGTCTTTCCCATGAACTGAACAAAGGCTGACCCAATTAGTACTCAAGGTTGTGACTTCTTATTAAGAGTTACAAGCAGGTTGTACATTTTCTATCGTAAAAGATGGGCAGCAATGACAAGTTGACTTTGAAATGAGAGAATGTCAGAAAATTTACAATCTAAAATTACTTTTATTCTTAAAACAATACATTCAGAGCGCTCTTTCTCTTTTTTTCTCTTTACAAGCTAACCGTTTTATATTATTCATGTTTGAGATATTTAGGATAGATCTTACAAATAATGTTTAGGCTAGTAGTGAATGTCTCTTTTCTTCTCTTCGTTTTACTGACGTATTTTTTTCAAACTTTATTCATTTAGAGAGTGCTTCAAAAGGAAAGTATTTAAGCAGGAATCAACAAGTAATCCTCTCAGCGTCCCTTGTCAGCGTATGTCTGATTGCAACAGTTGCTTTGGCGATGTATTTTTTCAGGAAAAAAGTGATACTTCGTCAGAAAACGTAAGTAAATCAGTCTAAAGTTCTAGGGAAGTCCTCCTTTAAACAAAATTAACCAGCACCGAGTCAGTAAATAAATTTATCTGGGATAATATGGCCATAACTTTGCTATTTTCGCGACTGAAGACTGGTACGTTTTCATAAGGAACTCCTGCAGGTTTATGACACCTCCAGAACGAACCTTACGACCACGTGACCTAAACGAAGACAGAGACCGCAGCGAAGTTTTGAAAGGCAACCCTGCAACTATAAGGGATACGCCCACCTAGGTCCTCATTTTTAACTACCGGCACGATGGTTCCTTCGCCATAGAGAGAACGTTTTAGGCTTCGAACAAAACGAGCCCGCGAGAGGTCTGCGGGAGATCTAGCACCGGTAGTGCCAGACCCATTGCAGAGCTATCCGTGACTTCCTTAGCTCGCTAGTAATGAAAAGCTCGTGCTGTGCGCTCACAACGAGAGCCCGACCACTCGCAAGCTATCTGGGATAAGATGGGTAACCACTTATGTCAAAATTCCGCAGAGATTCTTCGTTGAATTAAAATGAAGTTTTATGACAAGTCAACTCAAAAATAAATAGACAATTTAACTTCGATAATAATGTAAAAAATTCTCAACCATTTAACTCGGAGAAGTTTTAAATTAGTTACTTTTCCTCTTGATTTTAAACCATTTTCCAGAAAACGGTGAAGGGAATTGACAATTTATCAGCTGAAGGATGTTTTCTTGATGTAATTCATACTCTCTGAAGTAAAATTTACAGCAACACGAAGAGAGAATCTCTTACCTGATCTTGAGTGACTAATTTTGTCTCTTTTCATTTTAGAATCAATGCAAGACTTCCTGGGATGATGTACGACCGTGTGAATACAGTCAGTGTAGTAGAATGAAGAATGAGAAGTGTTGTGAATCACGAAGTGATTACTAGTTTCAGCGCCTGGTTTAGAAATGCATCGGATTAAGCTGAGGATTTCATCCAAAGATAGAATAGAAAGATCAAACTTGGCCGAACCTGCTACAGCTGATAAACTCGAAGAGTGGGAGAAAGAGAAATTCTCTAAAGCGAAATGCTAAACAGGGCACGGTCCAGTGAAATCGAAACAAAAACATTGAGAGAGTTCAAGTTACAACTTTCACGTCGTCCGACGAGCAGATGTTGCGTTATCATGATTTGTTGCGTAGAGCATCGTGGTACTGAACGAACACAAACCGCCCCCAAATGGGTGTTCATTGGGTATTTTTAAAAATCATGAAATTTCTGAAGCCATTTTCATAACAGTTACAGCCCTAGATGCGAGATTCTTATTCATTTTTTATTGTTTTTTTTTTCAATCCCAAGATAGTTTAGAGATATTATTTAAAAAAGTTTTGAGACAAACTGTATGTTATACATACTAATGAGAGCTTCAATAAAAATCTAATTGGCCCTTAATTTGATAAGGGTTTGTTAATATAGTATAGTCTATATGTTTTGGTTTCTTTATTATCTTTTTTCTCCGCTATTTTATCAAAAACAAATAGTGGTGTTGGTTCACAGCTACCCTTAAAATTATCGCAAAATCGAAGTAGCCCTTGATATACTCCAGAGATTTTAAGTCAGTGAATGATGTTAAGCTGATTACAATGAGATTTTAGGAAATTTTATTCACTGGTCTCGTACAATTACTAGCTTTTAAAGCAAAAATTAGGGGTGTCTTGAAGATACTGTAGAGATCACGATTTGGTTGTCTATCATTATGAAAAATACCTAAGGGATAATTGGAAAATGTTTGCCATTATTCACTGAGCAATAGGTAGAAATAAACTTAGTAAAACTGGGAGTTAGAGCTAAAGTCAAATTTGGCCATTAAGATAATTTTTATGGTGGAGAATGAAATTTTAGATTTTCTATTAGAAAGCGATAATTTTTGACAGAAGACAAAATTTAAAACCAAAATCTAACTCACATCACCAAAGAGATCGTTAAAATTGCTGACTTCGATAATGATAATAATAATTACTTTATTTCATTGTCAAACTTCTAGCTAGCCTGTAATAGGCTTACTATTACAGTAAATCATTTTGTTCTTGCTTTTTTAAAGTTTTAGGTCAAAACTTTTCTTCAATGGAACCTTGTAGCAAAAAGATCTAATTATAGATGTATCCATAGACACAATTTCATGGTGTCGTGTAATATGATAAGAAATGAAACTAGTTTCCATGGAAACCATCGTGACATAATTGCTTACAGGCTCTTTTCACGGTCACGGTTGGCATTCGAGGCTGAACAACAACAGGAATGTCCTAGTTTAACAGAAAAAAGAAATGTCTACAGTGGCACAGTGTGTCTCTGGCTACGGCCAGGGAGCGGACACATCCGCTGTGCTCACAAATCATTCAAAGTACATCACCATTATCGCCGACGAACCGTATTTTTCGCGGCATACAAGATCTAGAACATTTCCACAAGCGCGACACAGAAAGGGAACAAGACCAATGCACAAAACCACGCTAACGTATGAAGTCAGACCAGTTCAAACTTCGTATGTCAGCTGTATGAAGTCGGTAGGTAAATATTTTTATCCAAACAGCGTGGTGAGACAGCTGTGTGTTATTTAACTTCACACGTTGTATGAAGCAGCAAAGCAAACAACACAAGTGTTTTCAATCATCTGAATAGCTTTCTCAAGAAATAGTTTTATTTTCATACTCTCAAGCGTCCTCCTATGTTTATAAATATTCCCTCTCGCGGAAATGATTACTCTTCTCTATATCAGAGCTTGTACGGTTTCAGTCGCGACTTTCAAAACGCAACAACTAATTCGTGATGTGATGTTCACAGCGAAGGCGGATGTCATCCACAGTCAATATATTTTATAATTATTGCTACCCTGACTTTTGAAACCTACGTACTAAATCTTACTTCGACGAAACCCAAATGACGTAAAATGTTTTTAGCATAATGTGGAGGATTGATGGGTAGAAAATGAAAATGACAGAATTAAAATTCCATTCGATTGTTTTCTTTTTTGGGGGGTCCGGAAATTCAAACCTAAGAGGTACCCCAAAGTTTTGTTCGTTGAAGCATTTGACATGCTTTGCAGAACTTTTCTGTGCTTCAGATGTCCATCTCCTGTTTTCACCACCTTTTTAGCCCTTACCCAAGAATCGTCTCAAACACCACACCCTTTAGCAAAGGGTGTGCATGGGCAAACCAACTGTTCCCTTGGAAAAGGATGGGATAAAATTGAAAACCCTTTTTTTTTTTTTGGAATAAATGGATGGTAGCCAGTGACACCTTTCTTCAATGCAGGAAAGTAAATTCTGCAATTTGTTCATTAGGAGCCTTCCAGAGTCACTAATTCAAGATTTGACTTTAAACTCTGTTTTGGGTTCTCATGTACAAAATTATTTTCTAGGGCTTAGGTGATTTTGTTTGTTACAGAAGCGGCATCAAAGAGAAGTAATGCAAAGAGTGCATCTGTCATTAAGGCTATCATACTTAGTTAATACCTCTATGGTTGCCCAATGGTTAGCCAAAACTTGTTCTGTACAACTGGTCCAGTGCTGTTTCTTTCTCCACTTTCCCTCTCTCCTACTCTTTTCCTTGCCTTTCTGATTTTTGACGGAGAGAAAATGGTTCTGGAAGTAGCATGCAGATAAGACTCTTCCTTTCAAATTAGGAAAAAACTTGGACATGATTTTCAAAATTCTCTTTTTGTACAATTGATCTGGTGTTGTTTTTCGCTCCATTTTCCTTCCTATCTTTGGATGGAGAGAAAGTGGTCCTGGCATCAGCATTCACAGAAGAACATTTCTTAAAAAATTGGAAATATTATCTTGACTTGATTTATTTTTGACAGAACTTTTCCGGACAAAAGAATTTACAACCCAGTAGAAGACCCCCACCCTGTCCATCTCTGCACACGTCACAGTTCAGTATTGGAATTGTACCCGAACACGATCTTGTGACACATTCTAAGAAGACATTTGTAAGGCACCATACTAGTCCAGTAAGTGAAGAACCAGTGATAAGTATTACCAGTATTTTAAATATTTAACGATTATTCACCAATGTGGAGGTGATTACTGGTGGATATTTACCAAGCCATGAAGCAAGGAGGTAAATATCCACCAAATTGGTTATTTTAGGACACGCACGCTGGGCTCTGGTAACATTGATAAGAGGTTTGCGTGTGCAATTTGATGAGCTATATAAGGAGAATTTTGGGAACCTTTGGGGATATTTGCTTGTACAAAAATGTTATAATGAGCACACCCCTCCTCAGTGCACTTCCTTTAGCTGGCCAGTACTTGGTGATGCTCAAATTGGAAGTCCTGCAGTGAGCCTCATCCAAGAAAACATTTTCAAAGTTATATTTTGTCTCGTGAGTCTATTTACATTAGTTCCCCTCCCCTGCTTCCTTTGCCAATCCCAATACACTTGACCTCTCTGCAAGAAAATTTTGCATTATAAAAACTGTTTTCAATCTCTTCATTGGAAAAAAAAATGGAAAGAACAACTTGGTAATCTGTGCCCTCCTTGGAAATTAAAATAAAAAAGGAAACAAGACACTGGGAGTTAAAACATGAATCTGTTTTATATAGTATTTACAGTTGACCCACAATAATTGCTGTCAGTATCTTAAAAAATGCCATTTTGAAACTATTGTTGTCACTGGATAAATTTTACATCATAAGAAACCCTAAAAACCTAACAAACACGTACTGCAACATTGAACCAAGTGAATGCAGTAAAATTATATGATAAAGGTTGTTAAGTGGACTGTTTTAGACCTTAGCTGTTTTATATTCAGTAACAGAGCATTGTTTACAGGCCAAAGAAATTCATGAGGATAACATTAGATGGAACAGACAGATGGCAGGTGTTGATATGATTCAATCAACAAGACAGCAGGGTTCTCAGGAGGTAATTATGCTCCAGAGGGATTGGGAGGAAGTTTCTAGCAATTCTCTTTTTAATAATTATATGAAAATCATTTTTGAATTGTAGTTTAAGAAATTAATTTGAAAGCAATCATTGCTGTAGTGCTCATTACTGCAAAGAGCACTTTCAAATTCATTTCTTAAACTGCAGTTCTTGTATATGATTTTCATATATTCACAATCATTGATTGTCTCTTCATGGATTTATTATGAACCAACCTGATATGCTGACGTCTGTTCTCAACCTTACACTGCGCCCGTAATTCAGCCTCTGGGCTGCAAGTGGTCAGATATAAACTATATTCATATTCATACCAACCTAATGACCAGCTCCTAGTTGACCTGTTAGTTTGGTTGGTAGAACACTGCACCTGTACTGTTTCACAGAGGTCATGGGTTCAAATCCCATAGAGGCATGAATTTTTTTTCAGGCCTTATTTTCACTACTGCGGGCTTTAGTAGTGCTCATTACTACAAATATTGCTTTCAGATTTAATTCTCTTTATTGTTCTATTGTTCCTTTGAATTTTTAACAGTCTGTTGCTTCTAGCAGTTGTGAAATTTAAGCCCATTGGCAACATGTAGACCAATGTAGTCCTGAATTCAGATGACCCTACTATACTGAAAATGGCATCCTCTCATGAAGAGATTTGGGGCAGGGAAGATTTCTCTTTTGAAGGGTTACCATGCACTGAAGTCAAACACTCTAGGGATTATTCTCTGATGTATTCAAATCTTGCTAGGTGAAAAAAAAAAACATTGTTCATTGACCAAAACAGCCTTTTTGTTTCAAGATACTGTAAATTACTGACCAAATACAGTTACACTGTTATTCTTGTTTTTTCAACCAGCTTTGTGTTTTCTTTTTGCAGATGAACTTCTCAACTACTTATTGCAATGTACATGATTTCCTTGGAACTCAACGAGGTCCAGGGGTTAGGAGAATTCCAACAATTCCTTTTTCTCATAACATCATCACAGGTAAAGAAAAATGACTACTTAAAAATCCTCATAGACAGGCTCTCTTATTTGCAAGGCAATGTACTGTCAGAAATTAAAACTTTTATTCCAATATTCATACAAGAGTTATAGACTAAAACAGTTGTCATGATGTTTATGAAAATGGAAACTTTGGAAAATAGAAATATCAGCTGATCCTAAGTGTGCCACTTTTTTGTTCGTACAGAACAACAATTTGACATGATTTGTAATCTGTTACTGAACAAACAAACAGCAGCATGGAATCTATTTATTAATTAGGCAGAAAATTCTGTATAGTAGCTGGAGAACTATCTGATCTCCAAAGCGTAATGAACACCTTAACAATTGTGAATATATATATCTGATTAACCAAGCGCGAGGGCCGTACTGGGAGAATATCGGCCCGAGGTCTTGACAGTACGGACCGAGCGCAGCGAGGTCCGTACATAAAAGACCGAGGGCCGATATTCTTCCAGTACGGTCCCGAGCAAGCTTGGTTAATAAGAGATTTATTATGCGACTGAAGTTCAAAGGGACACAAGTGCGGTATCATTCGGGACCATTCGGGACAGTGCCCGGTCCAATACTGAGAGAATATTGACCGGCAATAGAGCATTTTGATTGGTTGATTTTAGTTATTGGCCCTCTGACTGCCCGAGTCGTGTAATAAAGATAATTATTTACCGAAACCTGTGGCGCTCATAAAATCAGTGATACTTTTGCAGGTGAACCTCAGTCAAGTCCGTTGGGAGATGACTTTAGACTTACATCTGGGAACAAAATTCTGCACCGTGCTCGGCAAAGCCATGGAGAATCGTTAATTCTTGGATAGCAACCCTCAATCCAATCTACTTAACAATGAAGAATGATACAAATTTACACTTTAACACTTGCAGATCGATGCCTTCTTACTTAATGGTCTTAAATATTGGGGACTTAACAGCGTTGGACTTGGTCGTTTCATTGTATCATGTTTTTCACAGGCCTGTTGTAAATTTTCTAGCAAAATTGTGTAAGTGCAAAACAGAAAAAGTAAGACATGCCATTTTATGAAATTTAGTATCTTTTTTTCAGATTTGCAAATTGTTGAATGTAAATTAAAATGTATATTTTGTAAGTCTTTTGAAAGAAAACGTGACAAAAAAATTCTCAAATTTTTAAAACTGACGTGAAACACTTCGAGAAAGTTGTAATTCTCTTATTTATGGAATTATAAAACCAAAAGATTGGGTGCTGAACATCGAACATTTCTTTTTATTTAAACACTTCAACGTCTGGCAAGCCAAGAAGGGGGGGGGGGGGGGGGGGGGGCTTGTGCGCCATACTTCCAGAAATCCATAAGAGATATTTTACACCTAAACTAACAGCTTTTTTCCATAAGTTGCAAAGAATTCGCTTCTTCAGGAGTGAATCCCAATTGAAGCCCTGATTTCAGCAGACAGTGTACAAAAGCGGAGCCAATTGCAGACCCAAGTCGTTGAGTCCAAATGTCAGACATAATACCTTTGGCTGAACAAAAACGTCGGCCCTTTGACGAAGATCTCAGTGGGGGTAACCGATAGCCGTAAAACGACCCAAGACTTCAGCCGTTGAGCGTAGAAATTGACAAACTTTAACCGATAGTAGTTGAGAAAGCTAACCGTAAGAAAAATTTCAGGTAACAACGATAGAATAATAGTAATTGTCATCCTTAAAATGGCCAAGATTCTAACCGTTAGCCGCCAAAGCCAACACCCCATTGGGACTCTCTTTAACTCAGTAGCCCCTCTCTCTCTCTCTCTCTCTCTCTCTCTCTCTCTCTCTCTCTCTCTCTCTTTCCCATCCATAACGTGGATCAAATCATATCTGTTTCTCAAGGCTCTTATTAGCACTCCATTCGTTCTTGGGCGTCGCCCTCGCAATTACACATGGCGTGTAGTATTGTTGTTTTATCCATTATTAAAGGCGTTCCCATGTATTCTCCGTGCTTCGATGAGCGAGGTGTATACATTCATAGTGTAAATACCTGTCCAAAGTTTCTTTGTGGAAGAGAAAGAACATGCCTACCGTCTCTCCTCCTTTCATAGTAGAATGCTGATGGATGGTCCGCAAGGTAATTTGAATTGCAGATTTGTTTAGACTCGTTTCGCATTAATTTTATTTGTACTAGGATGATTGCACGTGGAGCTTCGTAGAACTTCGCTTGGTCGTTTGGTCTTGGGGTGCTAACTTCGAATAGCAGTTTTCGGCCGGATAAATTCTTGGCTTACATGTGTAGGGAACCCTTACTCCTAAAGTTTGGTTTGGCTGTGCAACGTTCCTGGCACGTGGATTACAGCCGGCAACGGCAAACCGAGACGTCTTCTACGTTTTCTTTGAGCCACGTAAGTTTTTTCTCTTCCTTTTTCTACTGCCCTTCGATGAAAGTTACCAATAAGTTTGTGTGTGTTTGATAAACCTACAGCTTACTGTACGCGAATGAGTTTTACGTGTCTCTCTCGCTCTGTTCCTCCGCTTGAAGTTTTGTTCACAAACTGAGAACTTAATCACTTTCATACATCAGAGTCCTATGAAGTATGAGTCAAAATGAATTATCTCTCCGATGCAAGGATGTAGCTTAAGGTTATCACGTAAAACCTGCAGATTAAGTCATATCATTGAGTATGAGACGTTGCAGCTCAAAAAGCAGGCAATATTGATACGCATATTAACGATTCACATTTAATACTATTTTCCGGGGGAGGTGCTTCGTATAGTTTTGTGATAAGATATCATATGAGAGGCTTTGTATCTTTTGTCACAGTGTTAGAGTCTAAACTGGTCAGTACTGAGTTGATCCCGATACATCTTGCTTCCGGCAATTTTTAAATGCTGAAATATCCTAAGAATTACACCATTACTTGGAGAAGTAATTGGATTTGAGTCACCCCCACGCGCCCCCAAACACCCTAACATCAGTATGCATATTCTCCATACTGTTCTCTATACATTTCCTTTGACAGTGAGAAGGAGAATTTGTGTAACAATCAAGAGCTTGTTTAGTTGTTGATCATTTCCTTTATTCTCGTGACCTTAAAAAATTAGATCCTTGTCAGTCTTGGGTCAAATCATTAAATTTTTTTTTCCATCGACTGAAACCAATCGATTACTTTAATCTGTTCATTTTATACGCGGGTCTTCTGCCGGAAATTAAACTTGATCGTTCCGTTGCTTAAATCCGCGTTACACTGACTTTTACGACTGATTTTTACAACTTGTTCTCTGTAGATATATAATTTTTTTTCATCATCCTTCAGGCAATCACAAAACATGAAGGGATTACAAAGGACCGTTAAATAGATCAAGGTCGTAAAGAGATATCATAGTCAGTACAGGTCAGTTTCTTGTTGTATTCACGAGTCCATGTCCTCCGAAAGGTTTCTCTGTGAGTCAGGTTGATACTAATTTGCACTCAAGTCATTCAAGTTCCTGTTTAAAACTGTTTTCTAAGTTGGAAGATTGTTTCAAAGCAGAAGTGAAAAAAAGATAGAAATCAACAGTGAATGTTTAAAGCAAAATTTTCAGCGCAAGGTTGAAGTTGAAGTTGAAGTTCATTTATTTGTTTAAGCAGGTTGATTAATTGGCAGCTGTAGTAGCTGATGTGGACCTGCTGTCCTAACCCACCCATCCCACCCCAGGGGAGGACATCCATCACACAGTAATCTCGTGTGTGGGAAATTAACGTCTCCTGCCCGAACCCTTCAGGAGACCGGACCTCCATTTATTCGTCCCTATCCGAGAAGACTAGAATATCTAACCATTTCTTGATGTTATAGAAAGGTAGCAAATTCTTCTCAATTATTTTAAGACCTTGAGTGTTGGTCCGGCCGGGGCTCGAACCCTCGACCTCCCGCACTACAGTCCAGCGCTCTAGCCATTGAGCTAACCGGGAGGCGGTTAGGGGACATTTTGGATTACCACAATCGTGCTGTAAACAACCAGCATAAGCTTACAGAAGGCTGATGATTGTTCGCGCCTTTTACCATTTTGCATTGCACAGCATTTCGGTGGATGACAACCATGGCGAGTCTTTAATATAATGATGTGAAGTAATTGCCTGTGAGCAAAGTTATATGAAAGTGACTTAAACGTTGCAACGATCATTTAAATTCAAGTCTTATGCCGTGGAAACTTTTATTGAAAGAATTGTTTTAGTCTTTTTATGGGCGAGTCCGTTCTACGCGGAGGAAGGTCAGCGCGTTTAGGAATAGAGTAGATTAATAAATAAACTGCGTTTTGGCAGCAGGGGAAAAAAAAAAAAAACGTGAAAACGATTTTCACCCACCAGTGACCTAGTTTCTCTTTGCTTGAATTTAAGTCGCTGTTCGAAAACTTTTAAGGAGCACTCAGTGCAAGCCCTAAAGATTTTCTCAATGAACAGATTCATATGCGGGAATCACACCAAAAGCTTTTCCTGTGGAATTATGATTAGTGGTCACTTACATTTTTAGCTATTATACAGAACAAATTTCTTCCTTCTTTTCCTTAATATTTGTTTCTTAATGTTATCCTGAGAATCATTTGCTTGATACTCATAACAATGTCTCGCGAAGATTTCACTGCCATGATTAATCAGAAAGAAATTTCTGCTTACCTTCAACCATTTTTTGAGTAGAAAGGCGATAAGAGCAAAGAAGAATTTACCAAGGGATACTGGGTGGATGAGAATTGTGTACAATTGTCTAGCCATACCTCATTTATATTCCCTTTATTCTCAGAGACTCTAGTCATCCAAACATGGGACATGCAGTTGATATTTATGGATGTTCGAGTAGTGAATGTCTTGAATAACTAGCCGAGCGAAAATTACTTCAGTTGGATCAGTTGTTCGCGACAACACATTAATTCACCCCTTTCTTCTTTTTTTCAGATTTGAAAGTTGTTGCCAGGAGTTTCGATAGAAGATGATGACAAAAGATTCAAATAATCGATGACTAAAATAAATGTAATCAAAGATCGTACCGGATATTCAAATATTCATCCGTTTGAAAATTACTTCTAAAGAAGCAACGTATGCGCTTTTAAAAGGGCCCATGGAATTTGGAAAAAAACTAAGTCTTCTTGCGCGAAAAATTTAACTTGAGGTGCCGATGAAATAAGATAAAAAAATGAAGTCTTTTGGCGGGAAATTTTGGTCTATGGAAAAAAAAAAATTTGCCTTTTGAATTGTGTCCGATGTTGATCCAAATGTATACGAAGTGTTTTGATGGGAAAAATCGTTCATTGTGCAAATGATTTTCTCCTATCAAAAGTGAAGTTTATAATTTTTTTAACAATGGACGCAGAATTTTTTCCTCTCGTCAACCCTCCATACGCAAAAAAAAGTAAAAGAGCCTATATTTTGACTTGTTATCAGGCCCTTTTAAAAGCGCGGATTTTTTTCTTTATTTATATACATTCTAAAGAGACAAATAAAAGTTGAGAAAAAGACAAGATTGTAAATGAAGTTTATTAGTCTGCAAGTTTATTCACATAAAGCAATTAAAATATTTACTACAGCTAACAAGCGTAACCGAACATTACAGAACCACTTCAAATAATAAAGAGTAAAAGTAAAAAGTAAGACAAACTTGCTGATTTACAACGTGCTTGACAAGAATTTTTGAGAAAGAAAATAAGTAAACAATAAATTAACTACTTTAAATGTACGATAATTCGCAAAGTCTGATCCGTACCTTGACCAATAAAAAAATTTTGTGAATTCGTACCGAAAAATTTTAAAATAAAACATCCAATCAAATTTGTGTAGTGATTGTCTTCACAATATGCCGAATATAAGTTCAACAGTATTACTGCGAGAAACGTTACCGATGCCAATAGATAACAGACCATTTCTACCACACCAATTCAAGCCGGCAGCCAATAACGTTATAAAGGCGGCCTTAATTTTGCATCTAAACCAAAACAAATTCTCAACAGATCAGCTCAATTTTTTTTTTGTCTTTTCCTTCTAAATCAGTCTTGAAAATGGAAACCATCTCTCATTTTCTCGACCTTATTTCGTTTTTGAAAGTTTTGTTTTTTGTTCAGCCAATGTGCTGAAAAAATTTTTCCGAGCAATTTCTTAATTTGAATGGAAAACGTGGTAAGTTGTACTTATTTACAATAACACGTTGTTACCTATATAATTTATTTCCAGGAGTCTACGAGTCTTTTTGACAGCTACATTTTCTTCCTCCGTCGCTCTAGTAGCTTCGCCGGTTTGTGATCCTCTTCAACAATAGAATTTAATTTTAAGGAACTGCAAGAAGAAGATGCAAGAAACGAACATGTTTACAACATTAATAAAAGTAATAAAACAAAAACGTGGCAGATTTTTCTGTGTTTCTCAAAAACTATAGTAGGAATTTTTTAAATCAGCATATGCTAACGTTCGAAAAGTGAGCAGAATAGCAACTTAGAACACTGTGACAAATCTACGCAAGTTCTTTTAGTTGTTGCTTATCTTTTCTTTACAACACTAATCATAATTGAATGATGTAAGTTTCAACTCCAGCAAAGGATCAATACATTCATTACGGTTCATACATTTACTAACTTACATACACTCCCGCAAGTACGCCTAATTGCAATAACATTGTCATAGGAAAAAAAAAGGAAAAGGCCAAACTCGTATTAATAAGCATTTATAACATAACCAAAGTAAAGCGCGCGCTCTGATTGGTCAATTTAGCGTTCCCCATTTGCCCATGGGTGTACGCTGCTGACGTGAGCAAATGCAAAGACTATTTTTCCGCGCGCGCTTGTTTTTTCTGGTCGCGTAAGATTTGTTAAATAAACGGGAACTCTTTAGCTACAATGTATCAATGTTATGTTATAAAACAAATGGTAAACACCACAGCGTACACTATTGAGTTATGGATGCACTTGGGAGGTTTGCTAAGCACTCAAGAAGCTAGAGTCGCTCTCGGCTATCGCCTCGAGCGACTCTTACGCTTCTTTCGTGCTTANGTTCAGAAAGGACTGTTGGACTCTTTTGAGGCAAATTACTTCTCCCCCTGGATCCGCCACTGCGTAGGCATATGACATCAGCTTATAAATTCTTTTTAATTTTTGGAGTCACCTGAAATTTCTCAACAAGATCCGATACTCGAGAAGTTTGAAATAAATTTGTAGTGAAAATTCTATGAATATTTTTCGGCTGCCCATGTGGGCGTATAGCCATAAGGAAGTTTCGTATGCTGATCAATTCCTATTTGTTGTCTTTTTCGCCTTCTCAGCTCTTTGTCGACTGCGCTTAAATATGGTCATGTCTAAATTTTTTTCTCTGTGCAAGCGCAGATATGTTGCAGTAAGATTTCTGTAAAACCCCAAACATCACTATGCCTACAGTTCTTGAATGAAAAAAGACAGTGATAAAACAATAGATTACCTTTGGAGTTACGGCTTTGTTTTAAAATAGTAGGGGAATCTTCGCAAATCTTTTCAACTTCAATTTGAATAAAAAAAATACACATAATTACAAAGAGGGTATCATAGAAGCAAAAATAAACAACAATCAATAAATTTGCTTTGTGAAAACTTGAAAGCCTATTGTTTCCTCCAAAAACAGTTTCACGACTAAGAACGGCAAATTTTAAAATTTGAGAGGCCCTTGAGTTCGAAGTCCAAATTACATGAAAATGCATCACATAAATGTGTGACTAAAGAATCTCAAACAAGTTATTCAAGATTCGAATCTACGCATTTTATCACAAGCTGTCACCTACGTCACACTCGATTAAAAAAGGAAAAAGCTTTCCGAAAATTGTCTCAGCGAATCGTTTAATTTCTCCGTGAAAAATTCCTAAACTAACACACTATAAGGAAACTTATTTCCTAGTTTTCGGTGGAAAACATTAACGTTTTTAAGCTTTTTAAGTTTTTTTTGGTTACAGCGCGCCGAAACTTTTGTTTGCATTCAGATCATTCTTTGCTGGCGACGTAGCCACAAAACAGAAGTTTTATGGTAAAATATGATTTAAAATTGTATCAGTTGATCTAAGTTTGGCTTGATAGACTCTTTGCTATCAGTTTAGGAACGCTGACAAAATTATTGCGATAAATAAAACTTAAATCTCTCTATAAATTTAAGGAAGCCTATTAAAATAAGTGAGGAGAATTTGCTACCTTTCTCTAATATCAAGAAAGGTATAGATATTCTAGTCTTCTCGGAGAAGGACGAATAAACCGTAGGCCCCGTCTCCTGCAGGGTTAGGGCTAGGAGACGTTAATTTCCCACGCACGAGATTACTGTGTGATGAATGTCCTCTCCTGGGGTGGGATAGGAGGGAAGGTGAGATTGTTACATGGACTGAAGCGGCTGCCAGAGGCGCCTGATAATGCTGACGTCCGATCTCAGCCTTATCATTGTAACTAGACACGTTTGTTGTTTAGAGTGCTTGAGACTTTCTTTCTTTCTTTCTAAACTTTGTTAAATGAATTAAGAGCGCCTCTTTAAGATAAAGTTACGGAGATTGAAATTTTAGCTTTCTTTGTGGTTCTTCTGCGACCTGTCAAGACTGAAAAAAAAGCCCTATATCTTGTTTACACATCTTGCTGCATAATTCAATCTTGGAAAAATTAGACCAAAAAGCCTTTGTGTGTCCTATCTGTAGTGTACCTAACCAGAGTAGCCACATGTACGTATTACTAATCTATTTCTAACAAGTGGAATTCTTTAGCTTACCTTGGCTTTATCACGTGCTTTTATTTCCTTGCTATCTGCTCCAGTTTGGATACCTCCATCGTAGCATTTAATCTAAAAGAATCAGAAATACGACGTTATTAACTATGGACCTACAGACTGTTAGAAAAAATTAAGAATGTGTTCGTTTAATTTCAAAAAACCTCCAAAAGCTAACATAGCTATTAAGCTTTCTGCCTTGCGACCACATTTATTCTAGAAATCATGAACACCTATTCAGCGGGAATAGGCCATTTTACTGTTGTGTACTTAGTTGCCAAGCCTTTGATTCAGAGTGAGGCTAAAGATGACCTTGTTGTGATAGAGACCTGTATCTACTTAGCATGATAACAAAATGATTTACATTTGAAAGACGCAAGGTTTGTATCATAACAAGGTCATCTCTAGCCTCACTCCCATTCAAAGGCTTGGCAACCAAGCACACAACTGTAAAATGGACTATTGACGTAAATCTCTCTTACAGGTTCTTACATAGCCCTAGTCATTCATTTAAAGTTTGAATTAACCGCCGCTGAGCGAAGAATTTCTGTCCTAATACAAAGCCTCTACAAAGTTCAGTTTCACACTGTTCTTTGACGAAATTTTCTACCATTCCTCAAACGGAGATTTAAGTACGTACTG